TGCCAGCTGACCTGGTGACGATACTGTCTTCTCGGAAGATCATTGGCGCATTTCAGATATTCTTAGTTGAGCTACGCCAGAATCTGGAACTGTAAACCAAAATGCTTCTTGTCAAGCAATTGTTTTTATCAACTGTGAAATCAACGTTTCTATACCTGCGGCTACAACATCAGCTCCAAGAAAATGCCCGTTGTCGGACGATCAGTAAATGACCAACTTAGCTGGACTGTAGTGTTCATTCTTAAGAAAGAAAGTTTATAATGAGTTCGTATTTATTTGCTACCGTTAAAATATTGTTATAAATTTACGTTCATCAAAACGTAATTTGTGGATATATTTGGTGACATTCGTTTGTCTATTGTGTGAGAGTTGTTGACGCGTTTGCGTCGTTTAGAATCCCCTGTATATCTCCGCGCCAGTAAAACGACCCGTATCGAAACCCGGATTAAATCAAATAGGTTTTCTTTTGGGCCAGACGAGCGAAAAATAACATACCTAAAGACTTTTTTTCTTCATATAAGGTATATGATAAAACCTTTATGGACTGGTTACGTCTTTTGCTGCCCTCAATCGTACGGCTTACGCGTCCTCGCAAGCTCAGGCGCTTCCGCGCCGTGCGACCTCGGGCCGCAAAAGCCGTATCCAGTCCATAAAGAATATAAATAATAGATTTATATACATTGTGACAAACATATGCACATGCATTCGATTTGACAATCTAGTTCAAGATGAATGGCAGCATTTTAATGAACTTGATCTTGGTCATGTATGGAAGGATTCTGTTCAAACTTGGTAAATACATTGAATGATATATGACAATATTCAGACCAGATTTAAAATTGTCGACTGGTGGCCATTTTGTTTTAAAGAATGCTATTCTTTTCCTGACATGTCTTGACTGATCATGTTCAAACTTTATATATACATCATGTTCCACATACATATTTATTCATTTGGTCACCCAATTCAAGATAACCAAATTGCAGCTGCTTTAATGTTAAAAATTTATCAAAGTCAAACATTTTTGCAGTCCTGGATCCCAGTCATATATGGACGGATTTCATTCTGTATGTAAGTTATGGGACCATGATGCATGTCATTTTATTTGTAAGGTCGGTTTTAAAATGGCAACTGGTGGGAAATTTATTCTTAGTTAATGCAGTTATGGAGTCATATCTCATGTTTAAACTTTATGTATTTCTTAAACCTGAAGTATTGCAATTACTTTATTGTAGTTTCATTAAAAAAAATATTTGTCAGTTAATTAATTATTAATTCATGCATTTTTTTTGGATAGCCTTGTCATATGAATTTATTAGTAACCTTAGTGACATACTGCAAATAAGAACTTACCTTGGGTACTTTAGCATATTTTCCTGTCCTTGTATCACGAACTGAAGACAGTGTCAAACAATCCACTTCCTGTAAATAATGACAAAATAAACTAACGTATACAATTTTAAGGATAGTTTAGGGTGCCAATATATACATATATTACGCTTGTTGTATGAAACTGCTACACAAATCTTTAGTGCCCCTTGAAAGAGTCTACCCATCAACTGGCCACTATGAAACTGTCATGCAACTCATGCCTCCACCAATAACCACCTGTTGTAGGTTACAGCTCCTACTGTCTCCTCAGTACCCATACCTCACTACTGACCACTAACTGTCATGCCTCCACCAACAAGTCAACTTATGCCTCCACTAACAAGTCATTGAAAATGACACAGTCCCCGTTAAGTTCTCTTTGTGCTCGTCATATTAAAGCGGAGGGGTTGTCGCGAGGGTGTCCTTGAAACTTGAGTTCCAAGTGGCCTATACAACAGATTGTTTATTTACATCAAAACACGTGTTCCATTTAGTAGTAATATGGCCAAAATAAAAACAGCCGTTATTCAGCCATCTTTGATCTGATTATGAAACACACTGATATGTATGATGTATGTGCCAAATTTGTATGAAAACTGACAGAGCACATCCAAGATACCGCATAAAAAAACAAAAACAAGATGCCTGCCAGTCGACCACCAAGAATGAACGGAATCGGTCCACAGGATTCTGAAATATGACGTTGGATAGACTGACGCACGGACAGACGGACACATGGACGGTCGGACGGACAGACTCAAGAACTCATGGATGGTCGGTGACATGTATCCTAACATGTATGATCTATGCACTAAATTTGAATGAAAACTGACAAAGCATGTTCAAAATACGACATTTTCAAAAAACCAGATAGCTGCCAGTCGGCCATCTTTGATCCAATTGTGAAATAAATCATCATGGACATGTATCCTAACATGTATAATCTATGTACCAAGTTTGAATGAAAACTGACAAAGCATGTCCAAAATACAACATTTTTAAAAAACAAGATGGCTGCCAGTCGGCCATTTTGAATCAAATTGCTAAACCACTGCATGTGCATATGTCTCACATAAAGTACTAGGCACATGCAAAGAATGAACGGAATCGGTCCAAGGGATTCTGAGATATGACTCACGAACGTACGAACGGAGACCGAATTATAAGTCCCCGTTTTCGGACTTCGGGGACTAATAACCACCTGTTGTAGGTTACAGCTCCTACTGACTCCTCAGTACCCATACCTCATCTACTAACCTCAAACTGTCTTGAACCCCATGCCCCCACCATCAACCACCTATTGTAGGTTACAGCTCCTACTGTTGCCTCAGTACCCATACCTCATCTACTAACCACTAACTGTCATGCAACTCATGCCTCCACCAATAACCACCTGTTGTACGTTACAGCTCCTACTGTCTCCTTAGTACCCATACCTCATCTACTGATTACTAACTGTCAAGCAACTCATGCCTCCACCAATAACCACCTGTTGTAGGGTACAAGTCTTACTGTCTCCTCACTACCAATACCTCATTTGCTAACCACTAACTGTCATGCAACTCATGCCTCCACCAATAACCACCTGTTGTAGGTTACAGCTCCTATTGTTTCCTCACTACCAATACCTCATTTGCTAACCACTAACTGTCACGCAACTCATGCCTCCACCAATAACCACCTGTTGTAGGTTACAGCTCCTACTGA